TCTATCATTGTTAAAATATGATTTCATAGAATTATTTGATCAGAAATGATGGATTGTTTGTACAGATAACGTGTAACAATTGCATGTAACACTGACAATAATTACTTTCTATCAGATATTACTTCTAAATATGGAAAATGAGCTTCTCATATTGAACAGCCAGAAATGCTTTTAGTTTTCTAAAATTATCTTTTATTGGTGACTGTGCATTAAGACCAAATAAATCGGTTTTTGTTAGATTTATTTTTATGTTTGTATGAATTTTGTAGTCAGTTTTATGCTTATGTCTGTGCTCTATGTTTATACGGTTGTGGTTGCTTGATCCAAATTATTGTCACATTAACCTGTTATGTCTGTTAGGGTTACTCAACCAATTTTGATAATATCACGAAACCATAAATAACTGTCATACAAGTGGGAGGTTTAACTAGGTTTAAAACCAGGTTTAATCCTCCATTTTTCTTGGGAAAATGTCTGTTTCAAGTCAAGAATATGACATTTGTTTTCCATTTGTTCCGTTGGTCTAACATTTGATTTTGTCAATTTTTATGGACTTCTCCTTTCTGTATTTACCTTGGAGTTCAATATTTTTGATTTACTTTTTATTCATAGAAGTGGGTCTGATATCTTGAAAGTGCAATTTAAACTCTTTAAACTTACAGTTTTAACTTATTTTGTAATCTTAGTATACCAAGATAGCTTAATGATGTCAACTTATAGAAATCCTGTTGCATCACAGTTCATAATAGTATTGTAATTGAGTTTTATATGAAGTCATTTTTACTATCCTTCTGAGATTTTGCTAATTAGATAATGTAGTGTTTTCGTAATTCAGGGAGTTTTCCATTTTGGCTTTTACATCCTATCATTGCCGATATTTGTCCTGATAATATAAGTTTGTTGACAGATTGGTAATACTATGAGGGAATATTAGATTTACTTTCTTAACATCCATAGAGAGAAGTAGTGATGTATTCATAATGAATAGATGGAGACAAGTTAAAAAGTAATCTTACTTCATCTTTATCTCACTCTCCCTGAAGACTTTGTTAATTCAATTCTGATTGTGTACTGCAGCGATTCACTTTCCCTCGATATAACATTAACCAAGTGAAAACAATTAACTATTAAAAGTTTTGTTTGGTATCTGAAATAAGTTGTTTCCCTGCTAGTTACATAAGGATGGAGCATGTTTATCATAGTAATTGGTATGGAGATATCATTATTGCATAATTGAACTTAATTGTACTTAATTTTATATTTGTTTTGCAGATTAGACATCAGTAATTAAACCAGCAATATGTGTAACCATAAACAGTTTATTGCTTACTGATTCAACTCTCATCAAGCTTAGACTGTCACATGCAGTAAACAATATAAATATACTCTGTTTCTCTAGACATGTAATCATATATTTGTTAGGCATCATACAAACTATATCTTAATACTATAAGATGTAATACACAAACAAACATAAATCTGTAAAAAAAATCTGATAAGCTGACATTATGGATATTTTTTTTCTGATCTGTCAATAGTCAAAGTTTTAATTAAAGATCATGTTGTTTTTTTTTCACTTATAATCCCAATATATTGTTGTGTTAACAGCGCAAATTCATGTTAGGTAGAAAGTAATGAACCAATGGGAAGGGGAATAAAAAAAGGTCTACCAGAGTACAATACATGATTGAGACAGATAAAAAGCAACAAGACAGGTTGACCAACAATCAAAGATCTGTATTCAAAGAGAACTCTTAAACAATAATACTCCTTTTACCTGATATTAGGTGATCTGGAAGGGCAAGCATATCCTGTCTCACATGGAACTACTATTGTCTTATCCATTTTTCAAAGCTGATCATGTTTCTATAATGGTAAATGATTAGAAGCATGAAGGGAAATATGTCTACCAACATTAATAACACAATCACCTGATGAAAATAAACCAATTGGTGATAACAATTTGAAACTTTTGAAGTGATCCGATCTTTTTAAGCTTATTACACTGAGTGGGCAGCTTTTTATGTGACAGTGATAGGTCTCTTAATAATGTTTTTGTCTTGTCTGTGACGAAAGTCGCAGTATGCAAGACATAGGTATTACTATCCAGCGGAGGCTGCAGCAGGTGCATAAACTATTTGTATAAACCTTTATATTTCAGAAGGTAAAAGACGGATGCTTCATACCTTATTTGCAGATACCTTATGTTACGAAGTTGCCGTCTGTCATATGTCCATGGTCCTTGACCTCATTGTCATGGTTCAGCGATTGCTTGAAAAAAAATTACAGTTTTTTTGTCATGTGAATTTCTCACTTATTATGAGTAATAGGATAACTATATTTGGTATATGGGTTCCTTGCAACGTCTACATGTCCGTCAGACAGGGTTCACCTGACCTCGACCTCATTTCATGGATCAGTGATCAAGGTTCAAGTTACGTGGTTAGATCCGTTTCTCCGATACTATAAGCAGTAGGTTAACTATATGTGGTGTATGAAATGATTGTAAGGGGTACATGTCAGACTGGCAGGTTTCATCCGACCTTGACCTCATTTTCATGGTTCATTGGTCAATGTTAAGTTTTTGTGTTTTGGTTTGTTTTTCAAGTACTATATGCAATTCTTCAACAATATTTGGTGTATGGAATGAATGTAAGGTGAACATGTCTGTCTAGCCAGTATCATCTGACCTTGACCTTATTTTCATGGTTTATTGGGCAATGTTAAGTTTTTGTGTTTTGGTCTGTTTTTCAAATACTTATAGCAATAGTTATGTGGTGTATGGCATGATTGTAAAGGGTACATGTCAGACTGACAGGTCTCATCTGACCTTGACCTCATTTTCATAGTTCATTAGTCAATGTTAAGTTTTTGTGTTTTGGTCTGTTTTTCAAATACTTATAGCAATAGGTCAGCTATATTTGGTGTATGGTATAATTTTAAGGTGTACATGTCTGTCTGACAGGACTTATCTGTCCTTTACCTAATTGTCATGGATCTTTGAAAATGTTAAGTTTATGTGATACTTGTAGTAAAACCTTTATCTTCTTAAAACTTTCAACGTAAAATCAATGTTCAGTAAAGCAGGCGAGACATTTCAGCGTGTGGACTCTTGTTTATACATGCTCTTGAGAGGCATGCCAGTTATGATTTGTAAATACTACATACAAGTTATTTTATTATGTTATTACTTAGAAAAGGAAAAATCACTATTGTAAACTTAAAAACCATTTCATTTGTCATAAAATTTTGTGTCAAATATACTTTGGCTTCTATTTAATGTATTAAATGCACATGAGGCTGTATTTTGACCATAATTATACCCTGACTTTAGAAGTGTGGGGCTATATTAGAGTCACCTTGTCAACCGGTCTGCTTGTCCATATATTTTTTCATCGCACTTTTCTGGAAAACTAAAGAGAACAGAATGACTTTATATTTGGTCAGCAGCTTGGCAGTGATGAGTTGTAATGTGTGAGCACTTTTAGAATCTGTTTGCCAATAGTTTTAAGTTTTTCCTTATATTGAATGAACTTTTAAAAAATGGTCAATTATTTCTCCAATACTTTACTGAACCGAATAACTTCATATTTGGTCAACAGCTCAACAGTGATGAGTTATAACATGTTTGTGCTTTTCGGATCTATCAGACACCTACTTCCTGTTTTCCAATACTTTGAATTTGTGTGGGGCTATGCTTATCTCTACAATGAATTAATTCTTGTTTGCAATGAATGAAGATATGGTCTGCTTTGATGATGTTATTTTTGTAAAATAAGACTAAAAAACTTTTAAACAAATTAGTATTTCGGGTTTAAATTCTGCTAAAATGTGTTAGTAAACAGATTTTCAAACACCATCTCAAAACAGTTATGTAATTACTGGATAAACTAATCATCTAATACTTTAATAATTTGAAAGATACTTGAGTGCAAATATTTTTAATCTCATTTAATTACCAGTATTTGCCAGAAGAGTGCAGTATTAGATGTTATATAAATATTACAGCAGTCTTGATGTCTGTTTGGACAATAGTTAACACTTCAACCTCTACCTCATTTGTACTGATAACATTGCACCTCCTCCTGTGAATGTTTTAACATAGCTTATCACTAGTCAGGTGTTCAACAGGAGTGATTAAGGTTAAGAACCTCAGTATACGTAATGAATTATCAAGTCACGATAACCCTAAAGTAAGCTTCATTCATTCAAACAGTAGTATGCTTCATTACAGTCAAACTGTAGAAAGCTCCCTTAGCATCACTCATTCATTGAAATGTTATGCTTCATCAGGTAAAGGTCATCTGTAGATGGATACCTCATAGAATTTCACCACTGAAACCAAGGTCTATAGTGCGTAGTACTTGAATGCTGGTGCATTTTTCCAGATAAATAGTTTCATGGGAGCTTGATGATTACTTAAAAGAGGTGATTTTAGTACAAACAATGTTTTGATCACATTGTCATGAAAATAATAGCAATGTAACTAATATCATTGTAACATCTACTTGTTTTTGATATTTTGTAGTTATTGTTCATGAATCATATTTTAGAGCAAAGATATTGATTTATAGAATACTTTTGTACAAAACAGATATTCAGTCATAATAAAATCCTTATGGTCTAAACTTATCTTCAAGGGACAAGTATGACATATTAATGATGGAATTGAGCAGCTTAGGTATCCCACTATTAAGAAGCATAATCACATATTCTAAATTATGAAAATTGTACGTTCTTAAATTTTTTACGCCAAAAACAGAAACAGCCATATTTTTGTAACTTATTTATTTAGCTGCACAAGCGAATGATAATATTTGACATGTAGTATACTGTTATTACTATGCTTATGCAAGAGTTTTTTACCTTTCAGAATATGGCCTGAACACTGTTGTATGTTACTGTATGAATTTTACCATTCAAACTAGGAAAGTGGTAAAACAAAGCAGTTAAAAAAATGTGTATATACATAGCTATTTAAGCTTATTTTTATATTTCAGTATGAACCACTGTCCACCAACCAAAAGATAGAATTTTTCACCAAGTTAGTATTTCTACCATACTTCTTGGTTGCTCAGTTTACCTGGGAATTTCTTAGTGTACATTTCTGGACATCAAGATTCATTTTGGTCAATTGTTTAGCTCTGACAGTAATAGAGGCAGCAAATGTCAGATGGCTGATGTCTGGAGGTTGGAGGTAAGCTGAAATATAACCTCGATTGAATAAATATATAATAATTAAGATTGATTGATTGATTGATTGGTGTTTAACGCCACTTTCAACACTATTGTGCTATTTCGTGGCAGTCAGTTTTTATTGGTGGAGGAAGCCGGAGTGCCTGGAGAGAACCACTGACCTTTGGTAGGAAAACTGACAATCCTAGTCAATTAAGATTGTAGTCAAGTGCACCTGCCCGTGCGGGATTCGAACTCACAACCTCAGTGTTGACTGGCTAGTGATACAGTAGTTGGACTACTTAGACCACTCGGCAACCGAGGCCCCTATAATAATAAAGGAATAGAAGCTTGTGTTAATGAAATGCAATTATAGAAACATTTCACATGTATTTTAAGAGGGAATCTAAAAAAAATGATACATTTAAAAGTCATTTATTGAGAAAGTTTGCAAGACTCTATGTTTATTTGTTTTCCTTGTCATTGATAAGAATCGTGAGCTCTCTGTGTGATTATAAATAATGTTAGGATGGGTTCAGTCCAGGGTATGAATAGAAGAAATGGTATTGTTGCGATTGTGATTTAAAAATTAATGTGGCTTCCAGTAAAGTATCTGCAGTATTGGTCCATTTGTTGACAGTCATACAAGTATTATCGGCACACTATATGTGAAAGTTCCTTTGTTACAGGTATTTCTTTACAAAGGATATAAAATAATAATAAGATAAACAGTACTGAAAATATTAGTTATCATATCACTGTAATGTAGTTTTGGTATGGCTTTCTTTTTATTTCTAGAATTTCTTATACACATAGATAAAATCTTTTTGATTTCTTTAAATGGATTTTTGATAGTTTATTTTTTGTGTTAGATAAGTAATATACCAGAGTTTATCAAATCAATCTATACAGCTTTTTATTTTTGCTTGACCTTTCAAGAATAACCAGGGAAGATATGTAGGCTTATCCAATATACATTTGCTGCATACCTTTTCAATATTTATTATTCTAGGGAAATTGTTTCAATTAGTTTAATGTCTGGAGGGAAGACTTCTATATTCAGAAAAAAATGATCTGCCACAAATGTTTTGATGAGCTTAATAAAATGTCAATTTCTCTTGTCAGTTTTCTGAAATGTTTCACTTCAACTGCAACACTGGTATATGTTACTGGGTAAAAATTGTTGAACTTAAATACAAATGAAATAGCATTTATACAATAAAACACAGAATTGATGTACAATGTTTTGTTGCCTTTAGCATATTGTTTTTTATGACTTCGTGACATTTGATGTTGTGGTATTAGTATGGTATCAACATCATTATTTGAATTTGTAGATACTGAGTTTTCGTCTCGCCTATGACTTTTGTCGGGGAAGAAAGACTCAAGTGTGTCGTTTCTTTTTTTGGCTGTGTTGACAAATGTTTGACTTTGTGATAAAGTCACACAAACGAGACAAATCTCTATGTTTACAGTTTATTACTTGATAAATTTTGTTCTTTTAAATTTTTATGTCATTTTCCTGGGCACAAAAAAACTTTTATATTGATTATATATATTCATCTGGGAAATCAGGTTGAAAATTGTGATGACATAAATACTGACATTTACTTCTTGATATTTTACCCCTGTATTTTCATCCATCCATCAGTTTTTTTTGTTTTTTCCTTCATCTGTCTGCACATAGGGTATATGAATTGTCCACACAATTCTTACAGTTTTCAAGTTAGAATGATTCAATGGAGAGTATATTTCAACAAATACCAATTAACTGCTTTTATTTTGTTTCATTGTTTCAGAAAAGTACAAATTGGTGAACTAATAAATTTTTTGACGATTTTGTCATATACCCTTAAGTCTCGTGAAATACATTACCTGGTATGCAAAATCAAGCCCATGTTAGGACTTGCACTGAGGCATTACAATTGTACCCACACAGCCAATATATATAGATAATTGAGACTCTTGTGTTCAAGTGCTGTGCATCTATAGACATGCTTTAGTCCAGTGTATTGCTTTGAATTCTTGACATTAAAAATCACAACAAATATATTGGTTTCTACTTGAATAAATAGAGGTTGAAGGAGCTCAAGTTGGACTAAAATTTAAATTTGTTCTTTGAAGTCTGACTTCCTCACATTTTTTGCCCCTTAAACTTTTGTTGCTGGATCATATTTTATTTTATTCTGAAATAGCAGTTGTCCAATTCTTATGGTACTGAATTTAAGTATACAGATGGATAATTTTAAGTAATATATTGAGCACACATTTTGTTGATGGATGACATATTTGACAGAATAATGTTTTTTAGACCAAGAAAATTATTATATATATATATATATATATATTTATCAAGCTTTTTGTGTTTAATATCTTGCAAGAACTAGGCCATAAAAAAGAATATGTTTGTTTGCCCTAACCCTACCTACCCAGAAAATAGCTGCCTACTCAAAATCTTTTATTGTCCTGATGTAAAAAAGTTTTTTTTTAAACAGATAGGCATGAAGACTAGAAAACATCTAACACTTCAATTTCTTTTTGCCGAAAAAAAAAAGAAAATGCCTACCTACCTACCCACTGTCTTTACCTTTGGGTAGGGTTTGGGCAAACCAAAATATTTTTAAGTGTGGCCCTATTGCTTCAATTCTGAGTATGTAATATGATAAAGATTTTACAGATACAGGTTGTGGTTTGTTTGCTGACTTTATGTTGATGGAATTAGACTTAGACTTACACAGTTTGTGAAAATGATCTGATCTTTATTTTGTTGTGCTTGCAGTTATTGTTCTTATTTTTAGTAGGAAGGTCATCAATGACAAGTTACAAATAACAAATTCTGATTTTTGTATAACTTATAATGCTAGTTCACATTTTTTCTGCTACAGGCAGAGGACATTATGTCATACCCAATTATTGAAAACACTATAGTGACTGTCATTTTATTGTTGGTTAGCATTGTCATAAAGAATTAGCTCTATATTTTCTTCTTATTTGTATAACATTTTCTTTATTTTACAGAGATACTATGCAAGTATTGAAAAGTCATGGTAAAGGAGTCCTTGGAATGGTTGTTTGTATTATAGTATGGCCAATTGTTCCTAATTGGATCTGTGATTTTTTCTTCTATGTAGCCTTGTATTTCTCACCATATTCGAACCTTGAAAAATTGTACAAAATTATGAAAGGCTGAAACTGTGATATTTCCATGTTATGTTATACCAAGTGCTTCATTAGACCATACCAAATTTATGTGCTGTTCTTTGAACTCACTTACTCCTAAATATTTTATTGAAAAATTCAATTTGAAATTTTATGTTATGGGTCATTAGGAAGAAGTCAAGAGTTAAACTGAAAAAAATATTAAATGTATGTACACTTTGCTGATCAGAAATATAACAGTAGATACTAAAACCAGCCTGTGAGGCTAAACATCGGGTACAAAATTATATGATAAACAGTTGCACATAAAGATAATGATAACATAATGCTTCTCTTCTAATAAATACTTCTTTATGTAATGAAAATAGTGCTTATAAAATTGTTTATGTTTTCTGAAAATCTTTTTGTTGGATGGGATGGGTTGCTTATTTATTTTTTTTTTTTTTTTTTTTTTTTTAAGAATTGCGTTTCCTCAGTCATATGATGAGCCCTTTCACCATCAAAGAATTGACAATTGATCAATGTTAAAGGATTAGTTGCACATCTCTATTTTTACATAGAAAATTCTAAGAACACAAAATGATTTGGTATGGCCTGTTGGTTATTTTTTCTTTTGTTATTGTTTTATTCTCTTTTCATATTTTTGGCATTATGAGATAAGGATAGCAAATGGAAGAAACATCTAATATTTTATCCAATGTTTATTTATACCAGTGTTATATTCCAAGTAATCAAATGCAATTGTAAATGTGATGTACATTGACTGGCATGCTTAATAAACTCAAAGTAGAAAAGTATGTCCAGATATCAAAAGAAATGTAAAGTGTTTATTTACTCATTTATTTATTTTTGTTGTTAAGAATATTTTATCTATTAACTAATAACAATGATAGGCTGTGTTTCAAAGATTTATCATATGTTGGTAGTGAATTGATATATAGGAAAGAGATGTATTGCTTTGAGAATCAGAAACAAAAATATTTTTCAGTAATGATTTGTCTGTTACATAATGAGTATTATAGCCACTTCAACTCCCTCAGGCAAAGTTGACCCAAGATGAGTTTGTCTATTATTTGTAGGTCTCTTTTGGTCATATATCTCCTAACATTTGGATGCACAAGAATTTATAAAGTGTTACTGACAATTAATTGCACTGGGTCGATACCAGTGCTGGTAGACTGTTAGTCCCCGAGGGTATTCAGTGTTTGGTACTGAAATGATTTATAACATTCTATTCTAATATTCCCCATCGACGATTTAAGATATTATTAGGAAACTAAGCTTCCAACTCCCTAAAGCAAAGTTGACCGTAGAGGAATTCAGCTATTTTTAGGTCATATAGCTCTCCATGTTTTTATCTGTTTACACATTTCATGCTTTCAAATGCTAAGCTTCAAGCATTCCTGATGAAGGTAAATCCAGAAAAGCTCTTTGTGTGCCCAACATTTATAGAGGGTTATTTTCAATTAGTGTAAAAATGTAAATGAAAATGTGACAGTAAAAGTATAAACATAGCAGATTTGGCAGATATGACACAATCAGTTGTTTAGGATAGGTATAATTTAGTGCAATCTGGACTTTTCCTAGTTTGTGGGCCCAAAACAATACATAGATAGTACTTAAAATTTATTATTGTTCTAATTAATGTATTGTTATCATTTGAAATATGATAATTTATAGATTTATAATTCTTTCTGCTTTTTATTCCCCCTCGTAGCGGAGGGGGCATTAAATTTTACCCTTGTCCATCCTTACGTACATCTGTCCGTACATCCCAAAGTTGGTTTCCGTTCTTTAACTTAAGTTTGCCTCAACTAAATTTTATGAAACTTAAACACAATGCTTATTACAACAAAACACAGATCAGGTTTGAATTTTGGTGGCGTCACTGTAACCATTCTAGAGTTATGCCCCTTTACAAATGGAAAAATTGCTTAATTTTTCGTTTCTGTTCTCTAACTTTAGTTTGCCTTAACCAATTGTTTTGAAACTTATACACAATGCTTACTACCACAAAATACAGATCAAGTTTGAATTTTGGTGGTGTCACTTTTACCGTTCTAGAGTTATGCCCGTTTATAAATGGAAAAATTGCTGAATTTTTCGTTTCCATTCTCTAACTTAAGTTTGCCTCAACCAAATGTTATGAAAATTATACACAATACTTATTACCACAAAACTCAGATCAAGTACAAATTTGGGTAGCGTCACTTATACGGTTCTTCAGTTATGTCTCTTTATAACTTTATATGATATGCAAGCAGGGGCATCATCTGTGTCCCATGGACACATTCCCCATTTATTTAATTAAAAGTACAAAATGTTGCCCACTGCCATGATAGTCCCATGGTAGCATACATGCATCAAGTACAGGAGGATTCGTTTTAAATGTCTGTTGGATCAAAACAGAAACCCTATTGGTATTTGCTGCATCTCTGCCAAGCACATATGATTTAGGGGTAAGAGGAACGTCTATTCAACTTAGGGTGTGTAGGATCCTATGTTGCAGACAACTGCCTTGCAAATCGTACTCAGAACATCAGTTTAGTACAAAGCAGGGATGTTCATAGGACATTAAAAAAAAAATTGCTGATTATGTCTGTAGTATTTGCTGCTGGATGTTTAGGAGCTTTTAATCAATCAATTTTTTTTAAAGTAACCCTATTTTTTAGTAGAATTGGTTATAATACTCAGTATGATTTATTTTGTAGTTAATTTTTATATTAATACCGGTAAACAAAAATGACAGCTGCAGTCTCATTTATTTGTAAATGTGAATCATTCATAGACATGTATCATTGGTGGAAGACATGACTGTACATCTTTAGTTTTCATTTAGTCTTATGCTAAAATCTTTAATACATTATTTTCATCTTTTGCTATATTTTCATATTACAAGTTCAATTTTATATTTGACTTGTTTTACATCAAAAACCATGTATGTTGTAACTAAACATCTTTTAACCAGCCAATATTGAAATCAGTATACCATAGGTGATATATTCGGTAGGTTGATTCAGGTGAATTTTTCACCTAAGGGACATGTTTTCAACTGCTGACCTCTTTCTTTTTATAATGAAATGAAAGAAGAATTGACTCCAATCAAGGAACTTGGTTGTTAATACATGTATGGTTGATGTTGTAATTATTATCCTTTAGTTCCATCAAAAGTCAAACTTTTCAAATTTTGTGTGTTTCTGGGTTAATTTTCAGGAATACTTAAAGATAAAAATGATAGAAAGCCATTGATTTATTGAATATGTAATCAATATAATCATAAGCAACAAAAATAGAATACAGTTTGTGTTCTCATTTTCCCTAATAAAATCTAATACTGAAAATGGCTAACAAGTTAAACAATGGAACAAATTCATGAAAGTGGTTGATAAGTTTGACATATTACAAGCACTCTCAGAAAGGAAAATGTGTGGATAAACTAGGATTAGGATTAAGATTGCCCAACACCCCAGTTCTAATACATAAATACATAAATAATTTGATGTATGATGCTTTCTCAGGTGTTGAAAAAATTTATCAGGGATGTTTAAGAATCAAACTCTGTTTTCTTATTATAATGTTTTTGTGTGTGCTATAAAAATGTTTTGTCAAACTCTGTCTAATTTATATTCATAGCTAAATCCCTTTTAAAGATCGACATCTCCCTTTATGTTGATATGATATTGTAGGACAGGTTTACACATCTAGACAAAACAAAAGAACTACACAAATAAAAAGTCAATTCAGAGACTACTGATTTCAAGCTGTCTGTGAGACAAGAAATATATATTCTTTTCTGGAGGTTGGATGGCAGTTGCATGAATTGTTTTAAACTGAACATTTCAGAAGGACATATTAGAAGTCTGCAGCCTTATTATCTTGCTTCATTGACTTGATAAAGTTTATTCAAATTTTTATGACTTGCTGATCAGTACAGTTTTCAATAAGTAAGAAGTCAACAATATTTGGACTTTAATCAACGTGTAGGGGGCGCATTACATTTGCACGCAGCTTTTGAATACACTTGCGCACATTCATTTACAGGTAACACAGGTAAAATAAAGATAATTCATAATAAGTATGACTATAGTTATGATGAATTTTGAACATACTTGTAAATTAAGGCATAAATATAACTTAATTGCGAATATTTCAGAATATATTGTACTCTGTTTTCTAATTTTAGCGAATAGTGATCGCTTTAGTATTATTTAAGTCAGTTTGTAAAGTTGCGTCAAGGCACAAACATGGAGTTTCATTTGTCAGAAACAAGTCAGAGGAAAACAACATTGGTTTATGATGGATTTACTTACCGTATCGACAGAACACTTAAGTCAAGAGATATTTCATGGCGATGGACCATAAATAATTGCAAAGGTATTTCAGCAGATTCTCTATTTCCTCCAAGTCTTTGGGCATCACTATACCGTCAGCAGAATCCAGGCATACTACAAACGGCCCGGAATCATTCCATGTGCACTACAATGAGCAATCTTATTCAGCATATCCATGTGCTAATAGTATTTTTGTGTTTTATGTTTTCTTAAAGCAATTGACTTTAAATATTCAGAACGTTACAACATGTAAAATCAGTACTTTTAATCTTTATATTTGATACGTTTTTACATTTTATCTGTTTATATTTCCAAGCCTAAGTGCTTGTTCGTTATAAAACGAACTTATCCTGCTCGAAAATAATAACTAAATAAATAAATAAGTATAATCTACCTGTATTTACCTGAGTTTACCTGTAAAAATATGCGTGCAAATGTAATCAATAGCTGCGCCCAAACGTAATGATTTTTGTGCGCAAATGTAATGCACCGTGTGTAGGGTTCACTTCTTTTTTTCTATTTAATCATTTAAATCTTAATGTATTCATCTGACATGGATCACCTGACCTTTGGCATTTTTATGATACACATTTATTGAGTCACATTTAGTATGATGGCTAGTTCGGTTTTAATGTATTTATTTCAAGCAGAGACATATATTGTATTATATGTCTCTGTTTCAAGTAAATCCTAATACTTTATTTGCAATGATGCATGTAGTTTGACATTGACCACATAATCTTTCAACATCTTAATCAGCCAACCTAGTAAGATACACTGTGTGTATTCTCTTGTTTGACTCCTGTTTAAAGTAAGCTCTGTTACCAATCGAAATTTGAATTGAATATGAATGCATGATTTTTGGCATATAGATAGATTAACTAGTACATACAGCTTGGAAACACATATTCATTGTTTTTGTAAAGCAGAGCATAATTTTCCAGTGCATAAGCACTTTGATTTAAGAAAGAAAGGCATTCTTGAAAAAGTATATGTCATTTCCTTGTCTAATACCTTTTCAAAACTCTGTGATAAGTGATGTTTCATCCATTCCATCAAACTTTATTATTCTTATCTGCAAAGAAGGTCATGTGAGTGATCTGCTATCACCTGATATCTATCAGAATTGTATTCCTACAAAATCTTTGGCAAAAATATTAATTATTCTGATACAAATGGCAGAAAAATTACCTGCACGATCAAAGTTGTGATATCAGTTTTGACAAAAAGGAGACTGTTAGACCTAGTAATCCTGCAGCAGTTCCTTTGGTTCAAATTATTGTGGCACCCTTTAAGTTTCTTCATTTTTTGGGCTTAAATCTCTATTGATTGTCTTAAACAT